ATATTTATAATCATGCAAATCACAAGAAGGTTTTACAAATATTGTATTCTTTGATTTGTTTTTATTAATTTGAAAACCTAATCCTTTTGTCTTTTGTGATTCTCTTTGAAAAGAAAGAATATTATTAAGATTTTCTTTTCCTTTATTAAATTTGCTTACATTTAAACATATATCTTCATATCTTGATTTAAAAGAAGAAATATCTTTATCTAAACTATTAATTTGAATATTTAAATCATTACATTCCGATTTTAAATATTTATTTTCATTAGATAAACATTCATTTTCTTGAAGTAAAGAAAAATTTTCTTCTTTCAATTCAATTATTTGAGAATTAGAAAAAGTAGTGGAATTTAAATCAGAAATTTCTTCAAGTAATCTTTTATTCTCACCTTTAAGAAAATTATGTGATGTTTTTAATCTTACAAAAGTTTCATATAATTCATTAAAAGCATCTAAAAGTTCTTCATTTTCACTTACTTCATCTTGTGCCATGAAACACATGTGAGCACTTTCTTTTTCTTCAATTTCTTCATTTGAGGATGACTCATCACTATCATCCCAAGTGACTGCCATTGCTTTCCTTTTCTTGTTATTTTGAATGTTGTTGAAGTTGTTGAAATAACTTGATTTTTGCTTATTCTTTAACATTGGACAATCTTTCTTCATATGCCCTGGTTTATTACACTTAAAACAAAGAGGGTTATTTGAAATTGAACTCTTAGATTTAAAATTACCTCGTTTTATAAATTTTCGAAATTTTCGTGCAAACATGCCCATTTCTTTATCATCATCATCTGAATCTTCTTTATCGGAAGTAGTATTGAATGCAAGAACATTCTTGTTCTTTGATTCTTCATCATTCTTTCTATCTTCAATTTGTCTTTCATATGCCATAAGATTACCAATAAGATTTTCAACCGTAAGGGTTGACAAATCATTGGCTTCTTCAATTGCGGTAACTTTCTTTTCCCATTGTGGAGTAAGAGAACGAAGTATCTTTCTAATCATCTCCACTTGAGTATATGTTTTTCCAAGACCAATGAGAGAATTTGTGATGTCGGTAAATCTTGTGAACATTTCTCCAATAGTCTCATTTTCCTTCATCTTGAATAATTCAAATCTGTGCACAAGAACAGAAATTTTAGATTCTTTAACTTTATTTGTACCTTCATGAGTTACCTCAAGTGTATGCCAAATATCGTATGCAGATGTGGTCGTTGACACCCTATTGAACTCATTCTTGTCAAGTGCACAAAATAAGGCATTCATTGCTTTAGAATCCAAATTTGCATTGTTCCTTTGAGATGTAGTCCATTCCGCGAAAGGAGTGGTTGGCTTCTCATATTTCGTTTCCACGACGTTCCAAAGTTCGTATCCAATTGATTGAAGATAAATCTTCATTCGGCACTTCTAATAGTTATAGTTCAATCCATCGAACATTGGAGGACGATTTGTAGAGTGACCTTCCTTGAATTGTGATGTATTTGATGATGCCATCTTTCACCTTGCTCTGATACCAAATGTAGGATCTGAAATAGATACACTTGAACACTAGAGGGGGGGGGAATAGTGTTCTTTTAAAATATATGCAAAGTAGATTATAAATTGCAAAGAAAAATGACAATCTCAGAAATTCACAATCACAAACACAAAGTTTTATACTGGTTCCACCAACCCGGTGTACATCCAGTCCCCAAGCAAATCCCGCTTGAGAGTTTTCACTATGATTTTGAATAAACTTACAAAATCAAACGCAAACCTGACCAATTTGCAAGTCCCTGCAAATTGCAACACCAATTGACAAACACCTTGCCAATTTGAACACCAATCTCTAAACCAAGAGATTAACCCTCTCACACCCGAGAGAAAACCTTGTTGAAGCAAGAACACAATTGATCCTATAATCCTTGAATGTGTAGTGAAGTACAACAGTGGCTTAGGATTCTCTTAACCTCTGTAAATTGCCTAAATGATAAGTATTTGATCAATGTTTAGAGGCCAGTGGCTTAGGATTCTCTTAACCTCTGTAAATTGCCTAAATGATAAGTATTTGATCAATGTTTAGAGGCAATTTCAGAAACTTCTCTTTTTCACAAAATCTAAATATTTTTGACTTGAAAAATTGCACAAAGATCAAAGCTTATGAGTATGTAAGTCTCTGTAATTTTTCTGAACAAATAACCTATTTATAGCCCTTGAAAAGATAATTTTTTAAACTTTAAAAACGTTTAAAAACGGCTATAAACTGTCAGATATTCAAACTTTGAAAACAAGAAAAACTGTATCTGTAGTCGACAAACAGACTGTGTTTTCGGAAAATTTTCTCAGTAGTCGACTACAAAGCCCATTAGTCGACTACACTGTATTTTGACAGAAACTGATAAAATAAAATTTGAGTTCAGTAGTCGACTACTGTTGACATTAGTCGACTATACTGTAAAATATCAGAAACTTATGTTTCTGCCAAACACTTGAGTAGTCGACTATAATCACTATTAGTCGAATATACTGTAAATTAACAGAAACATGTATTTGAGTTTTATACATGAGTAGTCGACTACTATTCTAATTAGTTGACTACTAAGATCAAAAATTCTGCTATAAGGAGTTTTTATAATCAAGTTTTAACTATAATTCTAATGGTTAACATAGGGGATTTCTATAGTTAACCAACACACTAAGCCTGTGTTAGTGTGTTCTAAAATTGTGTGTGTGCGTGTGTGTGATCAAGGCTTGTACAATTATTCTAAGTAAAGAAAATGTAAAATACATTATCTCTTTTGTTCTTCATTTTCTTCACTTCAAAATGCCTTGAAATCAACTTGCACTTGTACATATTCTGATATTGAAATCTGCATATAAAAGTTAGTGCACACACTGTATAAATTGTTATCATCAAAACACTATCATGGAGATATGATATTCAACAAATACAACTTTCACATAAGTCAATATCAGTCGATCTCAAACATGGTAACTTCCCATTCGACTGCATAACCTTTAGGCCTTTGCTACTCATGTGACCTAGCCTCTGGTGCCACAAATTTGGGTCTTCCTTACTTTCAGCCACTGCAATGAAACCACGTGCATCTATCGTCATGTAGAGGGACCTTGTCTTCGTACCACAGGCAACAATCATGGACCCCTTTGTAACCTTCCACATATCACATGCGAAGGTTGATACATACCCCTCTTTCGCTAATTGTCCTATGGAAATCAGATTTTTCCTCAAGCTAGGAGCATGTCTCACATCACTCAGCTTCCATATAGACCCATTGAGCTTGATCCGCACGACTCCTTTGCCAACAATATCACAGGGCTGATCGTCACTAAGATAGACTTTTCCTAGGTTTCCTGAAACGTAGTTCTCAAATAAATCTCTATTTGAGGTAGCATGAAACGAAGCTCCTGAATCCAGCACCCATGATTCAGTCTTGCTCTCCAACGAACAGATTAGGGCATCATCTGATTCTCCTGAGGCCACGTTCGCTTCAGTCTTGTTCTCCTTGTCCTTCTTGTGTTCTCGGCACTGATTCTCATAGTGGCCAAACTTACCACAATTCCAGCAATCAATCTCCTTCTTGCTCTTGCGATTTCCGGACTTTGACCTCCCGTTCCTCGAGTTAGGTCTTCCTCGACTATTCCCTCTATTTTTGTTTCTGTTTCTTCCTCTGCTCTCAAGATTCAATGCCGACCCTGAATTAGAAATCCCTTCCTCTTGTCTTCTAATCTCCTCAGTCATAATCATGTCCACCACCTCTGAAAACTTTAGTTTTGATTTGCCACATGATCCCCTAATCGAGATAACGGTACCCTTCCAACTGTCGGGTAATTGACCAAGTATCAAGAGGGCTTGGATTTCATCGTCAAACTGAATATTGACCGAGTTTAGTTGATCCATGATCTCGTTAAACTCGTTCAGGTGTTCCTTGAATTTCTGGCTCTTGGACATCCTCAAATTAAACAGCTTTTTAATAAGATGTACCTTATTCGCCATAGAGGACTGCTCATACATACTGGACAACGCCGTATGAGATCCGCCGTCGTATTCTGATTCTTAATGTTGAACGCTACTGATTTAGACAAGGTCAACCAGATCGCTCCAAGAGCCTTTCGATCCAATAGCTTCCAATCCGCATCCTTCATATCCGTCGGCTTCTCTCCCAATGGTAGGTATAAATCCTTCTGATAGAGGTAATCTTCCATCTGCATCTTTCAGAACCCAAAGTTTGTTCCATCAAACTTCTCAATCTTGGATGTTTCCTTCTTAGATCCCATGTCTCTGACCTCAAATCGCTCGTGCCGAACCTGGTCGCTCTGATACCACTTGTTGGGGATGCACAACCCCCCTGATGCGATTTGAAAATAGAAATTTAGGAGAGAAGAGAGAATTCAATCAATCACAAACACACAAGATTTACGTGATTCGCTTCTCAATATGAGAAACTACGTCCACGGCCGTCGCAGGAGAAAATTTCCCTATTTTCGTCTTTTTACATCATGCCCTAATAAACCCTTTTATAGACTTAAGGGTTTTACAAATAGAAAAGGAAACAGGTCAAAAACTGTAACTGGGCAAAAACCCGACTCGCACGCGCGATCGACCGCGACGAATCCTTCTCCTAATCAGAGTCTCTGGAGTTTTGGTGGTCGACCACCACGCCACCCGCGGTCGCCCGTGACGTTAGCTCTCTGGACTTTTGGCGGTCGACCGCCGCGCCATGCGCGGTCGACCACGACGAAGGCAAAAAATTCCAGCTGCTCTCTGGACTTTTGGCGGTCAACCATCGTGCCATGCGCGGTCGACCACGAAGCTGTTCCTCTGCAATGTGCCTGTCTGTGCATGTCAGCGGTCGATCGTTGTGCCATGCACGGTCGACCGCGCCTCAGTCAAAATGCGCCCTTCGTCGTTTTTCTTGAACTTCGTCGTCGTCGATCCTGTTCCTCCTGTTCCACTTTGTTCCTCTTCATTCTGAAGTATAGGGCAGGTCTGATAGTTAGGCTTCACATATCCTAACATTGAAGTCCTTCCATGTTGAGCATTGGTCCCAGTTAGAAAGCTGGGAGTAGCCGATGAGAGTGTGGTCGTCGCCACTCAAGTCTATGCCTAAGAAGGAGCCGTGGGTGTACCACATGATAAAGACACCTACAGTAATGGGATCAACTGGTCCAAAAGGGAATATGAATTCAAGATCGATGGAGGAAATTCTTGCTTCAAGCTCTAGGATAGATCTCGTTGATGATCCTCTGAGGTTAGGAGTTCTTGCTTCGGATCCTAAAAGTTCTAGGCTGGATCTTAATCATGTTCAAGCTCACAATCTCTGTAAGTCTCCTTCTCCTTTTAATGGCGTGAATAACTCAGCTAGGATTTCTTGGGCTCAAGAATCCGAGATGGAGAATGATTCCTCTGTTTCTTATTCTGTTAATGAGGGGATAAATGTTCCTAAGGAGTCAATCAAGGATTCTAGGGATTCTTTGAATTTGAAAGCGGATAATCTTGATTTTATTAAGCCAAATGGCTCAAGTTTTCCCCCTTTGATACTTGAGGAAACTACAAAATCTGATTCAAAAAATAAAGTAGCGCCTAGTTCATCTACAGAAAAAATGTCACAAAAAGTTGGTCTAGTTTATTTGCCGACAACAGGAAAGCAGGGAATGGAATGGATCTGGATTATATGCATTCAGAAGATAAAGATGCAGTTATTTTCAATGATGAGGAACGGAATGAGGGAGTTTCTATGTGGAATTTCTCCTTAATTGGTCAGGTTTTGGGGGTCAATATTAGATTTAAGGCTATGGAGAGCTATGTTCATAAGCTTTGGTCTCCTATACCTGATATATGCCTTCTCAACGCAGGATTATTCTTGTTAAAATTTAAAAGTAAAGATGATATGAATGAAATCTTGGGTAAGGGTCCTTGGTTCTTTGGCTCACGACCATTTCTGTTGAAACCTTGGACTATTGGGGAGGAAATTGGTAAATCAGATGAATGCATTTACCCCTTGTGGATTCAGTTACCATCTCTAAGGCTTAATTTGTGGAATGCTAAAGGCATTAGCAAAATTACCAGTGTGATAGGAAAGCCTGTTGCAACAGATAAACTTACTGCAAATAAACAACGTCTGGCATATGCTAGAGTGCTGGTGGAGGTGAAAATGCTCTCTCCTCTCCCTGACCATATCACCATAAAAGGGCCTGATGGAAATAAATATAAACAAAGGGTGATTTATGAATATAAGCCAAGGTGGTGTGACTGGTGCAAGGTTATAGGACATGATTCAAACTTCTGTAAAAAAACATACCAAAGTCCAAAAATGGATTCCAAAGCAAAAAGTTGACAATATAGCACAGATGAATTCTGAGCATGATAAGATTAAACCTGTTTCTGAGAACTTGACTATTGATAAGGATTTGGTAGAAATGGGTTATGGTAATTAGGCACACTTGTCTCCTGTGCATGTTGTGCATGCTCACCTGGTGAATTATGAGACCTCAGCCCACCATCAAGTTAATGGATCTGGTAAACATGATTGTTTGGAGCCTATGTATACTCATAGCCAGAAAAAGCACCAGACTGAATGTGGGGGCACAATAAACCTGCAGGGATAGGAAGGAAGCAGTTCTTGCTCAGGTTCTGTGCAAACTGAACATTTTCAGCAATTAATACCAAAACCAATAGATGTGAGTCTCAAGACAAGTGGTCAGCAAATAGGCATGCTAACTAAAGGAGACTGTTCATCCTGTCTGGGTTCAGGGACTGTGCATGCTGTGCATGTTTTGCAACATGGAAGTAATGGAAGATCCCTACATCAAGCTGAGGGTCCCTGGGTGAAAATTCAAAGGAAGGCTCAAAAGCAACCTGTTGTGATTGATAAATCATTCTCTCTACTGGATGTTCTAGAGAATAACCCCTCTACTGATAGAGGGGTGCAGCTAGGATGAATCTCTCCTTTTGGAATGTTAGGGGATTGAACAAATCCTCTAAACAACATTTAGTGAAAAATCATATATCTCAATATCACATTTCTTGTCAAGCTATACTAGAAACAAAAATAAATGACAGCAAATTGCCAATTATTGCCATGAAAATAGCTAGAAATTGGAGTTGGATATCAAATATAAATTTTGCTGGAAAAGCCAGGATTATTATTATGTGGGATCCCAATATTCTGGATATTAAAGTTGAAGTCCTATTAACTCAACATATCACTTGCAAGGTTAAATCATTGGATGGAAGATTTGAGAGTTTCATTTCAGCAGTGTATGAGTTTAATCAAATAAATGCCAGAAGGAGTTTATGGTCAGAACTGAAGGATGTATTCCAAACTATTGGTAATTCTCCGTGGCTCCTAAGTGTGGATTTTAACTCAGTAATTAATAATGAAGAGAAAATTGGAGGTGCTTTGCTTTCAGAGGCTGATTTTAGAGACTTCAGTGATTTTATATATGACTGTCAGCTCAATCATCTTAATACTATGGGGCGCTTTTACACATGGAACAACAAGCAAGATGCAAACTCTAGAATTTGGAGTAGATTGGACAGAACTTTGGTGAATGACTCTTGGTTGCACATGTTTTGTTCTAGCCAGGTGGAATACTTACTTCCTAGCTTCTCTGACCACTCTCCTGCTCCGATCTCTATTTTTGAAGATAATGTCCAAGGCAAAAGACCTTTTAAGTTCTTTAATATGTGGACAAAGTATGACAAGTTCATACCTACTGTTTCTGAAATCTGGCAATCTGAAATTTTAGGCTACAAAATGTATTCAGTATGCACAAAACTGAAACAAGTTAGAGGTGCCCTAAAAGATCTCAACACGAGACATTTCAGTAACATAAGTGAACAAGTTCAAAGAGCAAAACATTCTTTGGAAGAGGTTCAAAAAAATCTCCAAGCTTACCCTTTAATCAAATCCTACAGGCATTACAACAAAATAATGGTCCTTCATAACAGCCAGGGACAAAGATTAACTGAGGGGGATGAAATTGCAAGGGAATTTGTGTCCTACTACAAAAATCTCATGGGAGTAGCAATTGATACAGCAACCCCAGATACAAGGGTCATTCATTCTGGTCCCTATCTGTCTGCTTCACAAGCCAGCTTATTATCAAAATCAATATCCAAAGATGAAATCAAAGATGCACTGTTCTCTATGGATGATAATAAGTCCCCAGGGCCAGATGGTTTTGGAGCCTTATTCTTCAAATCTACATGGTCAATAATAGGTGAAGATGTCACTCTTGCCATTGAGGATTTTTTCAAAACAGGCAAATTACTGGGTGTGGTAAATTCAACCTCCTTAACTCTTATACCCAAAGTGAAGTGCCCCAAAACCCCCTCAGATTTCAGGCCCATATCTTGTTGCAATTGCCTATACAAGATCATTTCTAAAATTTTAGCCAACAGGATTAAGACTGTCATGGGATCTCTGGTGAATGAAGCACAAAATGCATTTATTAAAGGAAGGCATATAACAAGTAACATCTTGTTAGCACATGAGCTAGTTAAAGGCTATAATAGGAAGCATATTTCCCCCAGAATCATGCTAAGCATAGATATTAAAAAGGCCTTTGATACTATCAGTTGGAAATTCATTCATGAAATGCTTAAGGGGCTGGGTTTTCCTGAACTGATGATTACTTGGGTCATAGCCTGCATATCTAATCCAAAATTCTCCATATCCCTCAATGGATCCCTTCATGGATACTTCAAGGGTGAGAGAGGTTTGAGACAAGGAGACCCTCTTTCTCCTTATCTCTTTATATTGGGTATGGAATACCTATCCAGAAACTTAGATATGCTGAGAAATGACAGGGACTTCAAATATCATCCCAAATGTAGCAAACTAAAAATCACTCACCTGATCTTCGCTGATGACTTGCTTTTATTTAGCTATGGGGATTTATATTCAGTGCAAAAGATATTTCAAATCATTCAAAAGTTCAGTAAGATCTCTGGGCTTGAAGCAAACCAGGATAAGTGCTCTATCTATTTTGGTAGTGTTGATGACACAGTCAAAGACAATATAAAGCATCTCTTAAATTTCTCGGAGGGTTCACTACCTATTAGATACATGGGAGTTCCATTAATTTGCAAAAGGCTCACTTATGAGGACTGCACCTCTTTCATCAACAAAGAAATTGATCAATTTCAGACATGGAACAAAAATAAAAATCTCACTTATGTGGGCAGACTTCAAGTCATAAAGAGTGTCATTTTGGGCATACAAATATATTGGACCTCAAATTATATTTTACTAGTCAAGGTATCCTGTAAAATTGAAGAATTATGCAGACTATTCTTGTGGGGTAAATCTAGTTACTCTTCCAGAACTCCTTTAGTCTCCTGGGCAAGAGTATGTCAGGGGAAGAAGAAAGGTGGGTTAGGAGTGTTTTCAGTCTCTATTTAGAACCTGGCAGCTGCTCTAAAGATACTATGGCATATCCATATCAATAAAGAGTCTCTCTGGATCAGATGGGTTCATGGAACCTATTTGAGACGTGGAGATATCTGGAATGTGAGTGTAAAATCAAAAGATTCCTGGATGTGGAAACAGTTATTGAAAGCCAGAGATAAAGCAATTCAATACTGTGGAGGAGTGGAGAATCTGATACAACTTCTAAACTCCTGTACAATCAATTCCAAAATTCAAGTTTCTGCAGTATATCAAGCCATTTCCCCTGATACATTTACAGTTCCATGGCATGTTACTGTGTGGGATAAGAGATGCTACCCAAAACATGCATTTATATGCTGGTTAACTATCCAAAACAAACTACTCACTCAGGACAGATTGTTGAGAAGAGGCACTATAAGTGAAAATGTTTGTTGCTTATGCTCTGGAGGAAGGTTAGAGAGCCGTGATCATCTATTTTTTGAATGCAGCTTCTCTAGAGAGGTATGGAACAATATAATGGATTGGCTTCAATTATCTTGGAAATCTTGTGATTGGTATCTCCTTATGAGCTGGTACTGCACCAGGCTGAGGGGAAATGGATTTAAACAGGGTATAAAAAGAATGGCTTTATCCGCGGCTATCTACAGAATTTGGTGTGAAAGGAATGCAAGAATATTCCAGTCTAAGGCCAAAGGTGTTGAGAAATTGGTTAATTATATCAAGATGGACATATTGATCAACAACCTAAACATTCCCATTTTGGAGGAAAATAAAGTATGGCTCCTCTCTTTGTAAACTGTACAGTTTACTGGTCTGTAGGGCAGCAGCTTCAGTCCAACCCTGCTGAAGCTTGAGAGGAAAGCAATCTTAGAAGGATCATGTGGAAGGGAGTTGTTTCAGCTCTGGTTTAAACTCTTATCGGTAGTCAGTGGTATATGTATAACACTTTGTTTGTTGCTAGTTTGGTTTTATACTTGTTAAGCTCAGTTCTTTTGAGCTTTAGATACAGGTTTTGATATCTCATACATATGATGAGATTCATGATGTACTAACATTTTTCAAATTTTGGTGATGAATAAAAATTTCTCATTTACCAAAAAAAAAAGACACCTACAGTAGCGATTCCCACGTATAATCCAATTACCTGAATGGGTGTCATTTACTTAAAACAATGGCATATAAAAGATGTACATAGGTAAATAATATAGGTAAACGGGCCAGTAAATTTAATCACTATCAGCAAGACATGATTATGATCGGAATCTTCAACCAATCCTTCAAAAACCATCACATAAAACAGAAATGAAAATGGCAAGAAAATAGTACGTAACCTCATAGTAATATAAACTGAAATATAGCTAATTACTCTACTTTTTATATTCCTGCCTATATGAATAGTAAGTTTGTGCCTATGGGACCAAGCGGCAAATAAACAGATGCAATATTAAAGGAAAACATTTAGATTATGTGCTCAAATTGAGAAAGAAAAGAGCATCTTTTTACCAGATAACGAAATAAGATCCATGCACAGATCAAAGAGTCGTCACTCCTGCGTGGAGGTTTCTTCATAATGTCTCTATCTGGAGGATTAAATCCCAGAGCCGTAGCAGGAGGTCCATCAGTTACAAGATTAACCCACAAAAGTTGGACTGGTATCAATCCTTCAGGAATGATATAGTGACCATAAAAGTGCTGATTTTGAATTAATGGCATCTTTTTATAATAAAAGTGCAAGTAACAAACAAATCAAATTTTGTAAGTCTGTACCCGACCCATTTGCAATTAGAAGATGTGATTGAAATCTCTTCGAGTGATGACGAATCATTTGGGACAAACCAATATTAAGCAAAATGCTATCAGACGATGAAGAAGAACCGTCTATAGAAGAATACTTCAATGACGAGGAGGACAAGAAATATGAAGTAAGGAAGAAAAAGAAGAAAGAGGCCTACGATTCAGACTATGGACCCAGTGAAGATGAACTTGAGAAAGCTCAGTTTTCTTTTGAGAGTGATGTCCCAAAAATGAAGGTAAAAAATTACTAATGTTGAAGCCTCTTGCTTGATCACCCATAACATAGTTAAAATTGAAGATGAAGAAGAGGCAAATAAAGTTTTTAAAGAAGTAATGACATCGCTTGGAGCTGTTTGGGAATATCGCCAGACACGAAAGAAATGAGTTAAGAAAACCTGATATAATTTCGTATCAAATAAATAAAATGATGTAGTTGAGTGTTGAAGTGAGTGAGTCTTTTTTTTTTTTTGATCTGGCCTTTGTTAGTGAGTCAAAATTTGTGAATTTTTATTAGCACATCTCGTTCCTTAATTTTCTAATAACTCAAATGATAAGGAAAGTAGCAAGAGGTAAAGATAAGGACTAGTTTATTGTCATTTACTTAGTTGCTTTTTTATTCAAAGGTCGGTTGATTTTAAATAAATTTTATCTTCACATCTCATCCCAAGCCCCCAAATATATCACATAAGAACATATTTATTTTAGTTAGTACGTGCCTTTTCTAGATGCTTTTCTTAAGACCTCTCCTTCTTAAATTTTTCATATCTTTTATTACTTTGACAAATTGTGTTTCATAACGGATATTCCTTTATTAGCATTTACACAAATCTAACGTATTGCTTTTGTGAAGTAAATTCGCAATGTACATCTATAAATGCTTCACTAATAACCATCAAACCTACATCATCTATAAGTAGCACTCTCATTTGGTGCCAAAAACCACCAAACTTTGATCTCCAAAGGAAAAAAATGAACACAATGGTTTCTTCATTCCTATTCTTTTTCTTCCTCTTCTCTTCAAATCTATGTCAATTTGTTACATCCATCAACCAAAATAATACCAACGATAATCTGAAGACTTACATAATTCAAGTTGCTCCACCAAAAAAAGCTCATTTGGACCAAAATGAGCTTAGGAAATGGTATAGATCATTTTTGCCCGATAACTCCGAAGAATTTGCTCGGTCGCGAATGATCTACAATTATGATACTGCATTTACAGGGTTCGCAGTAAGGCTTACGCCTGAAGAATTGAAGGAGATCGAGAAGAAGGAAGGATTCTTAGGAGCATACCCTGACAGTGTGCATCATCTAGATTCACCTAATATTGGAGAGGCATATTGAAAATAGTAGTAAGAAATATTAGCTGGCATTCAACTTTTATCTTATATGGTTCCTTAACATGCATAACGTGCAACGCACGTTTTGCATACTAGTTTTCCTAAAAAGTAATTAACTAGCTCTATTGTAGAACTACTCGGCATCAAATAAGAGTAATTTTTATTTCAAAATTTTGATGAATAAAACTAAAATCCCTAAAACAGCGTAACTTGAAAAGCAAAATATGAAAATTTTGGAGGAAACTTCCTGTTCGAAAAGTTTCGGCCATTTTGGTATTCATAGCTACTGTCGATTTGGATAAAACTTAATAAATTCCTCGAATATATGTCTGAAATAGAGAGGAATTTTGTAGAGATTTCATATTTCTCTGGAAATTAAATTCGGATTTGTACCCGAATTTTAAGAGACTGGAGTGGAGCTGGTTCGTATATTAATTACGCTCACGTCAAATCTTAGCGTAAATTTAAAAAAAAACCTTATATATTTTCTTTTCTCAAAACAAACGTTGATCTAAAAAGTAATTTAAACAAAAAACCTTGTTTAAACTGGTTTTTTTGTCTTTTTTTAATAAATGAAGAGTACCCTTTTTTATATAGAGTTTCATTATTTTAGACGTCTTAACAAACATCTGGATATGAAATTTCTAAATCAATAATAATATGATTATATTTTACTTCACCAAAAAACTAACTTCTACCATCCATTTTCTTCCTTTTCCATTTGAAACTCTATAAGTTCTTTTCTGATCTATAGTTTGCATCTCTTCAGTTCTATCTGCATGGTAGTGGGTTGTTTGAGCCGCGCATGTGATTTTTTTTTGTGGGGTGTGGGGGCAAATTTGTTATTTCACACCTCATGCGCAGCTGAAACGGTCCGCTCCCATATGGATCGTTTTAAAAAGAAGTGTATTTTCAAGACATGCAAGTGTTTATTTATAATATTAATGATTTTAATACCTTTCATAGTGTAGGCATATAAAATTGCTTATAGGTCCCTTAGCATAGCTCGGCACAAACCAATGAACCAACGAAGTGACGAGGTTGACGAATCGCACGCAAGTAACGGAATACATCCATTCGCGTGCGGAATCAAGCCAACGGTTCGGGGAGTCAACGAGTCATCCAACCAAGGGCAGACTCGGACGAATCACGATCGAATCAAGATCAGTTTCGGACTCGAACCCAGAAGTGGATTTACTGCCAAATTAGGAATCGGATCTACGGCCAAATCAGATCAACAAATCAGAGTCCGAATCAGCCGAATCACGGACAAAACGACGAAACAGAAACGCCTAAGGGGGGCTCAGCCAAAGCCGAGCCACCCGTGGGTGGCTCGGCCAAGACCGAGCCACCCATGGGTGGCTTGGCCAAAGCCGAGCCACCCATGGGTGGCTCGGCCAAGACCGAGCCACCCATGGGTGGCTCGGCCCAGTGCCGGCCACCCATGGGTGGCCGACCCGGATCTGTGCGCGGGCACAGTTCAGAGAGCCTATAAATAGGCTCCCCTTTGTTCATTTGAAAAGGTTGGAACTTTGAGAGCCGAAACTCTGCCGAATTGAAGATTGAGCTCAGAGTTTTGAAGACTTGGAGACTTGAAGATTCAGATCTGGTTCTCGGTGAGCGTCCACGTCACAAAAGGCAGGAGTCGGAGAGAGGTAAAGATCAGATCTGAGATCTACACGAGATCACACTCCGGATCAAAGCTTGGCCTTTGATCCCGAGAATTAAGGGCGATTATTTCCTTGGTGAACTAATCCCCCCCGGCTATTATTTCCTTCGCGGAATAATACCCGTCGAATCGTGTAGATCCGACCGGATCTAGATCGCGCGGTGGTCCACGGATTAACCCCGGCGTCGGCAAAGAACCCACACAAGCAAGAGACCGCAAAACAGGATCTTGCGATTTGTTCTAAAGGAAAGTTGTAAAAGGAAAGTTGTAATTTTTTCTTTTTTCTTTGATTTCGTTGTAACCGGATCTAAAAAAAAGACCGGATCTTTGTAATCGATACGACAACTCGCTAAGGCGATGGAGTCTACGGACGGAGTCCGCTACAACGCGGATCTGACGAATAGGAGAGGCAAACAGCCTCAACAACTGAAGAATGGCGGTTCCTCCAAGCCGCCGACGAACGAATGGATCCGGGTCAAACGGAACCGTTCGACACTCGAAGAGCGGATTCACAAACGCCGTGCATTGCTTGCACAAGCAAAAATCCTTGTGCAGAAGGCCGAGGAGTTGAAGAAAGGAAGAGTGGCCAAGAAGCCGCCATCAACCCGCCAAGTGTGGAGGCCGAAGCAGCCTCCAACCAAAGTTCAACCTCCGGTGAATCAACCAAAGTCGCCGGTAATCCCAATAGCTTCTCCGGGAGATCATGCAGAATCGTCCCAAAGGAAGAAGCCAGTCTTGGAGCGTCTCGGTCCACTTTCTGATGAGCGAGTCAAAGCTCCTGTTCAAGATCGTCTGGGCCCAATGAAGAAACCCCAGACGACGCAGCATGCTGGGGGTCGCCGTCACCTCCAACATGACAAAGAGACCAAGGCAGTCATGCGCACCAACTTGCGCATTGAAGTCCAGGAGCCCGCCGAGAACTCACGCCCAAAAAGGCATGTTTCGAGGCGTGTGACTTTTGAAAGCCCGAAGAAGGCAGTTCCCCCTCAGAAGGAAACATTATCGTCTGATGACGATAGTGTTATACCTGAGAAGTCGTGCCAACACACGATAGGTTACTCTGATCGTCAAGCAGACGAGTTGTACTATCGTGCTGGGGGTACGAATAAAATCAGGAAAAGGAGTCCCTGAGAACAGGAAACTCAGTGCCCCTGTTCCAAACTCATTCAGGCAGTATTGTCTGAATGCAGCTGCATCAAGGCGGTCCCCGAACGAGTTTCGGTTTTCGAAAGGCTCAGTACTAAAGCGCCGAAAACAAGGCCTAGGCATTTCCGACGAAAAAGAACGGTGGTTGAAGAGGGAGAATTTCCGAGGGTCACCACCAACATGACCAGCAGAGGGATATCGGCGCGGGACAGTCTCGAATCGATTCTGAAAGCATCCCGGCCTAGAACCCGTCTGCAGTCCGGAACCATCAAGCGAGCAACCTATGGTAGGGTTCGGACAAGACTCCCTTCAGAAGATGAAGAATCTGATGCCGGCTCCGCGGTTGCATCAGATAATAC